CTCTCTCTCTCTCTCTCTCTCTCTCTCTCTCTCTCTCTCTCTCTCATTCCCATGGCAGCTGCAACCTTTGACCCTGGCAGGCTCTCCAGGGCTGGCCTCACCAGGGATTCTATCAATTGGGCTGCCTGATCTTGAACTTGAACCTCCAGAACCGTAAGCCAAATTAACCTCTTTACTTAAAAAGTAGTCTTTGCAAGGCATTTCGTTACAGTGAGAGAAAGCTGAGTGATAAACTGTAAAGTTGTTATAATACTAAAACTCACTGGCAGGATGGCTCAGTGGGCACAGGCCCTTGTTGCCTGGTAACCTGAGTTTGATCCCAGAGCCCACATGGTAGAAGCCGATAACCAAATCTAGAATGTTGTCCTCTGAGCGCCCAACATGTGCTGTGGCACGTGCCCCCATAAATAAATCAACCTAAGAATCGAACTAACACAACAAGCCCTTGTTGGCCATATTCCTTATGAGTGATTTCTTAAAGCTCTATAAATCAGGGTAAAGCTCTGTTACCCACCTGCCATATTCTTCCATTGAGATGTGGCCAGTTATACCATACAACTGTCTCTGTTTGGTTCCTAGTTAATTACCTAATTTCTAGCAGCAAATGGGCTGCTTCTCTTCACGTGGCTATCCCTTAGCAAGCTCTGCCAGCTAGTTCTGCTGCTCACATCTATTTGCTCCATGCTGTTGCTAGCCTTTCTGGAGTTACACATGGAAAGCATGGCCCTGGTCCCACGTCTATTCTCCAAGCAGCAGCACTGACCTCATGGAAACATCTCAGCACATCTCCCACGTGTGTGCCAAACAGCATGTCTAACCCACAGGATAAGCTAGCTGTGGGACTCTAAATAAGACTAATTTTCTGAAACCATAGACAGCACCTGGGGTAGGGGATAAAACCCCAAATCTTCAGCGCTAAAAAATCTAAGAAAGGCATGTTAGGAGTTTTTATATTTTTAAGTCAGGAGATGAATGGATGCCTGCACATAATTATAGCAGAATAGAAGTGAAAATCAACCACATCGCTACATAACTGATCACAGATGGCTGTGGGCATCTCCAAGCCTCATCACTATCAAAACCCAGGTGTTGCTGCTCCCTCTACCTTTTTCACTGGGCCCTTTGTGGAGCCAGGTGCTGGCAGAGGATGCTCCCTGTTCCATCAGCACCAATGGTCCTAGGAGGCTCCAGGGGATTCCATCTCAGAGTTCACACCAGTACCCACAAAGGAAGGGGTGGAACATTCATTGGAACAGAACCCTGGCCACCAGTCCTGACAGCATAGCACAGCAGGTCCTATCTCATATACAGGGGCCCCGTGTCATCTCAGAGAATAACAGTCTAGAGGACAGTGGACTCCCTGGCTCAGTCAGCTACCCTAACATAGGCCTCTCATCTCAGGCAGGAGTCTAATGCATGTGTCTTTTGTCATGTGTGGAGGCCAGAGGTCAGCCTCTGGTGTCATTCTTCAGGAGCCATCCATCTTATTTTTTGAGACAGGGTCTGTCAGTGGGACCTTGGGCTCACTGATCAAGCTAGGCTGGCTGGTAATCCAGCAAGCCCCAGGGATCTACCTGCCTCTACCTCGTCAGTGCTGGGATGATAGACAAGCACCTCCACTCCAAGTCTTGTTTGTTTGTTTGTTTGTTTTACATGGGTTCCGGGAACAGAATTCAGTCGTCATTTGCCAGACTCAAGCATTCCACGGCTACTTCTGAAGTGCCCAGACTAACAGTATATATATGTGAGGCACTGGATAGAAATCCACGAATGTGGAGACCTTGTTCCTTTCTAGGCACCAGAGCGAAAGTGAGTCTGATGCCTTTACGTGAGTCGGCTTCTCATCAGGAAGTGGTGGAGACTTCATCCCTTCATTAGTGGGGATGTCTCTGACTAGCCAGCAAACACTTAACATATAATACTTTTGTTTTACTCAGCATAATTTTAATCCTGCACTGATGAAAGAATTTGCTCCTTTTAGCACACCCCTGGTCCCATTCTTCTCACATGGAGATGGAGTAGCTCCTCCAGACTACCCCAGGACAAGTATTCATGCTTTGAACAGTCCCAGGAACCGAAACTGGCCACTCCAATTGCTTTTGTTTTGATCCAGAGTACCTGTCTGGATAGGCATATAGCTCAACAGTAGAGCAGAATTTGATTGTAGATACGTCTGACAAAGGGAGGGAGTAGAGGGATGAGAAAAAGTGGGTCTTTGATTGATTTCCCAATGCTGACCTCTTCAAGCATTCCAGATTACAAGGGGGAATTTTAGAGACACTCCACCTGGATCAAAAGCATCACCTGGAAATTCTCATTTCTCAGCCATGTTTGTCACAACCTCTCATTCCACAACGATAGACTCCTTCCAGTCACAGAGTCTGAATTGAGGTGGGAGACCGGCTCCCACATTTACAACAGGGTACTCTTGAGAAGAGAGGGATAAGAGGTATTAGATAGAAGGATAGAGGGGAAAGAAACAGATAGAAACACAGGCTAGCCATGGGAGAGCCTGGATCATTATCCACCAGCCCTTTCTGACTCTCCTAAAGGGCCTTTTATAGGAATGCCAAGGGCTGGAGCAAAAGACTTCCCCTAGCACAGCCAAGTGCAGACCCTTCCAATCACCTGGTAACCACACACATGGTCAAGCAATCCTCTAATGCAGCCCTGCTGGGTAAAATAAGCTCATATCTTACTAGGAAACCTATGTGAACCTCCACAATACCTCCTTCTTGATGTAATAAAGGGCCTCCCAGGCACCTCAGATAGACTGTGCTTTTCTTACATCTTCCTTCTTGAATAATCTTCCTTACCTGTCATGAAGATACTTTTCATCAAGCATGCTCTGGCTCAGGTTGAAAGCTATCAAGAAGAAAGTTGCCCAGCTTTGGCTATCAGCCTCTGGCAGGAGGGAGTACAGAGCTAACTCAGTTCTAACTCCAGTCCCTACTAAGAGCTTGCAAATATCCACAGTGATCTCCATAGCTGCCACACCTCTCAGCAAAGGAGTAGAGGATAATAAAGATAGAATATCCATTTTGGAATGAGTCTAAGTTGACTAAAGCAGTCTTAACTGCACCAAGCCCTTTTCTAAATCAAAACTCCCTCCTAACAGATGTTCAATAAAATTTTCAAGAGACTGTTTTGATTCCCAGGAGAAAACAGTCATTTCAAAACACTTCAAAGTATCCACTCAAGTAAACAAAAATCCATGCTAGTTATGAAGACACTTTTAGCTCTTTAAGTAGCTCATACATACATGTGTTCCTATCACAGCAGTAGAATTTCCATACAACCTAACTTGATTGTGGGAGGCTTACCCCTTTGTGGGAGGCCTACCCCTTTATAAACAGAAACAAAGAAGGAGTGGAACCTTATAGGAAGAAGACAGAAAAGCTCCCCTAATTATGATTATGATTATGACACCTTCACTTAAGTTTTCCAGGGGCCAGTGAGACCATAAAATTATATTTTAAGCTATCATAAAAATGTTCAAATATACCTGAATATAAAAAGTAATAAAAATAATTCTAGTATGAACATCACTATACATGTTTTACAAACTTACATTCAACATTTGCACTTTTTACAAACTTATATTCAAAAGGAAACTCTATAGAACTATTTTACAAACTTTAGCACACTTCTAGAAAAAAATCTCTTAACAAAACTAACATTCAAAAGCAAACTCTATAGGAATATTTTACAAACTTTAGCAAACATCTAGAAAGAATCTCTTAACACAACTAATTTGCATTCAAAAGCAAACTCTATTGGCAAACATCTAGAAGAGATTTCTTGACTAAACTATTACATTTTTTTCTAACAAGACAGAAAGTCCACAAATCATTTCTAAAGTTTGGAGTTTATATTATTCTAAGCTTTATTTGGTGACTGAGGGTAAAATTCCCTCTTCTATATTTTTAAAGCTGCTTTTTAAGACTGCTATGGTCTCTTTCCACTATGCCTTGTCCTTGAGGATTATAAGGAATACCTGTTTTGTGCTCATTTTGCCATCTCGCTTTTCCATACCAAATAATCCCCATCTGACAGGCAGGCTGTTTACCTGTTTGCCATTCCTGGGGGGCAAGCTAACAAAGCTTGTGGGAAATAAACAGCGTTTTGGGGGTTTGGGGGGCTATTCTGGCAGTATTTCCCTTGAGCACTTTGCTGCTCTGTTATGAGAAACATTTGAAAGCTTTTATCGCAGTCTGTCTGCATTTTATCCAGACTTGCTTGCCTATGCCGCCTCGCTTTTACAAACTACATTTCCCAAGCTGCCTTTCTCTATGCTGTCATGCTGTTACATGCTACATTTCCCAAGCTGTTTTACAAACTACATTTCCCAAGCTGCCTTTCTGGGTCTGGGAGAAAACTTCCATTAATATGGTCTGTATTCATGCTGAAGTCAAAATCAAGCTGTTGCTTTTACCACGGGAGGTTTTTGTCTTCCCTAAGCTTGCATTATGACACCTGCATTACCATTTGACGGGTGTACCTCTCTAATCAGATTCTTCACCTGACACTGTCCCCAGAATGGGTCACATTCATCCGAGTACAATCAAATAGGCATTTGTTGCCGGAAGCCACTTTGCTCCCCCCACCTCACTGGGGCAGTGAAAAGGAATGAGAGTACTTGAAAAAAGAGCTTTTTCAGAAAGATCTTTTCCCCAATAGAAAAAAAGAGCTTTTTCAAAAGAGCTTCTTTCAAAGCCGTGGGCGCCGCATAGCCCCACTACTGACTCTGGGCTCTTGGTTGGGCAGGTGGTTCCTGTACTGCCTCTGCCGTGGCTCCACCCTCAAGGAAACTGCCTGGCAACCTCAGGGACCCCATTATCCCTGGAACACACTGAAACTTGGAGGTGCTTGCTCCCCGGCCCTCTGCTAATTGCCTTCCAATTGCTGGTTAGAAGCAGAGACAGAGTTAACATCGAGGATTTGCAATGCTCCCGGGGAGTTTTTCTATGCTAGGGCAGTTACAAGTGACTCTCCCATTCTGATAGATGTTTCTTCCAGGTGAATTTAATTTTTGCCCCTAAAGAAAGAGAAAAAAAAAAAAATCCGAGAAGGAAAAACCTGAAAAGCTTTCAGTTTTTGAGAGAAAGATTACTAAGTTTTTCCAAGACTTTTGTTCCCAATTCTCAGCTTCA